CTCCCGGTGTTTATACAAAAGGTTCTGGGTCCCTAGTGGGGTGTAAAGCCAAAGGACCTGAGCCCTTTTTTCTTTTTGTATCACAGTTAATCTATTAGCCTATTGACCTAGAAGATTTCAGATCATTTTTCTCATTATAATCTTTGCCTGCTGGATTTTTTATTTTCTCCAAAGTGCGGTAAATAGAGCAAATTCATTTAGGACCTTCAACAAAACGGTGACTGTGGATACTGTGCCTGGGTCTTTTAGCCTCAGTGAAGGCACAGCCATTAAGTTGGAATACTCTGACCATTTTGTGCCTTAACCTGAAGTGTTCTGCACTTAAACCTATCTAGTAGTGTTCTACACTTAAACCTATCTAGTTGTACCAGGCATTCTTGCATCACTGCCCTAAGGAGAATGGCCCCCATCATGAGGCAGGCCTGGGGACACCTAGGTAGCCATTGATATGATGGGTTGGTCTGCATCCAGGGATGGTCTGGGAAATGCTTTAAGATAACCTCGAGACATTCCAAAGGGATCTGGAGAGTAGCTTAAGAAGATTATGAATTTAAATCTGGTCAACAACAATGCCATAAGAAAAATATATTTTGTAATGCAAATATTTGAAATAAATATATATATTAAAATAAGCTTAAACTTGTTTAAAATAAACTTGCTAAAATAAACTGTTATATATTAAAAAAAAAAATCTGGTCAACAGACTCCTCCCTCCCCCACCCCATGTAGCCCCCATTTATTCTTCAATTGTATACCCATAATCCTTTTTCTCCTGTATTGCATGATCAATCTCGTAGGATTATTGAGCCAATAAAAGGACCAGGTCGTTTCCTCTTGAGCTGCAGTATCCTGTCACTCACAGATTGCTCCAAGACTCCCATCATTTATTCGGTGCAGTAGGAAGCAACAGGTGTCAGGAGAAGGTCTCTGCTCTTTTAGCTAGTGTTGTATTAACAACTTTGCTTCAACTCCATCAATGTCCACTCCACTTATCCCAATAATCGTCAGACTGCCCTGCTGGGAGCAGCCTCTAGGCTTTCCACTGGAAGTCAGTCCATCCTCTTGTTAACTAAATGAATACTTTTATTATCATCTGTAAGACCCAGGTAGGGAAACTAAACACCATACTTGATAAGGTTTCTTGAACATTGGCTGGATTTTGCAGTAGTAACCTGCTATTGTGGGGGGCGGCAGGGAGCAGGGGTACAAGCAAAAAATGCTGCCCAGTCAAAAACAGCCCATTTAACCACAGTATTGACCATAACCTGGGTACTGGGTATATTCGGCAGGTAAATATCCATTATCATAGAGCCAGTTCCACATGGCTTGCACACAAAGCATGTATATTGCTTCATCTGGGGTGTCCCACTTGGCATTTGTAGGGAAAGCTGTACAGTCACCCTTCTCAGGGTAAACAGCTGACAAAGACTTTTTTCCAATCCAACAGCCTGGCCATTTCCTCAGGAATAACCTGCTGGGTCATGTATGGCCATCTGTGATTGTCCCACACTGAGCTGTGGGTCCTGGATCAAAGCAAACAAGCCCTGCCATTGTGCAGTACTTGAAAACAATAATACTTCCCCTGAGCAAATCAGTTTCACAATCTATTTTAGTAAAGGTGCTCGGAAGTTTATATACTAACCGATGAAATAAAACAACTCCTTCACATTACACCCCCTGCTTTCAGTAGTTTCTTGGTTTTGTCTTCTCCCCACATAGACTATGTTCTTGGTGATCAGAATCTAATAGGTACTATCTGCTGTTCCCGCCTATTTTCCCTTTTGGGGATGGCTCTGAGACCAGCTGCCTCCTCAGTCAGTCTGAGGACTGACTGAAATCTGAGTTTGGTCCAACAATCACTCTTACTTTCATTTTAACTCCTAAAGATAACAATAAACAACAGATTATAGATCTTGCCTTTTGTGATAGTTTTCATTTCCTTTCGTATCCAAGGAACCAACTCCCCAGGAGTTGAATGCATCTCTAAATTCCATCGGTAAATTGTACCTTTAGTAACTGGTTACAGCACCGTCACTGTTCCACAACATGGGTATCTCTGTGGCAACCCAGCAATCAAAGATTCCTCATCCTCTGTCCTTTCAGCCTTTCTTCTCCCCAATGTTTTTCTGAGCCAGTCTAGGAAATCCTACTTCAGACACTGATTCAGGGGTGCTTTCTCTGACACCAATCAGTTCTCCAATTCTCCAACAATAATCGGATGTACAACAATTCAATTAAAACCTGACACTTTCTACCTGATAGAAGCTAAGAGCAGAAAATTTGGGAAGGAGTCACAACAAAACCAGAAACAGGAAGTGGGGGTAGAAATGATGAATATAGTTGTTAAACCAGCTACAGAAACAAAAAAATCCTTAGACATAGTTGCTCCTTAGGAACAGATTGACTGCTATAGAAAGTATCTGGAGTTGCAGGCAGATGAGAGATGGGAATGTGGAGATTGAGGGCCATTAGAGAATCCCCAGTCCTTACAAATTAACCCAGTCACACCCCTGCCTACCTGTGATTATGCAGGCGCCTCTTTTTTCCTTTCTCCATTTCCTAATAAACCAGTCCTTTAAAAAATGCCTGTGTGTGTAAATGTCTTCATCTCCCATATAAATTTGCTGTGTGCCACTGAAAGGTGAACTCTGCCAAAACTTTTCTCTGAGAAATCCCAGAGACCCTGCTCCCTGAACCAACATCACACACCATTTAGAAATCCTCAGTTGTCACCTGTGCTTCTCTACAACCAACTGTAAATTCTGAACTTGCATGACCCTCTCTATGGGCTTGATAATTGATTGAACAGCTCACACACCTCAGACACCTTACTTACTCTTACTGGCTTATCATAAAGGGTACATCTCAGAAATAGCCAAGTTGAAGAGATGCACAGAACACGGCACAGAAAGGGGGCATGCCATGGGGCATCCACCCTCCCAGCATGCTTTTCATTGATTTGGAAGCTCTCCAAGAGTTTCTGCAGAGCTCAATCTCCAGCCTCCTAGCCCTCACTGGAGGTTGGCGGTTAGTGGGGACTGAAATTTCTCACCCTCTAATCACTTTTTCTATCTAGTGACCAGGCCCTCCTGATTATCATCCAGAAGCCCCATAATGGTGTAATATGGGGGTGAGGCCAGAAGTGGGGGGAGAAGGGGAGAACTAACCAGTGACTAGTTAGTGGTCAACAGGAAAGGAGGGTTTATTGAAACACCCTGCAAGGGAAGAGAGGGCAAGATGGAAAGCAGGATTTGAGGGTCTCTTTAGTACTGTTTTCATAGGCTTTCTAACTTGCGATGCCAGTTTGCGTGAGTTATCTGCTGGGATGTCTGGTCTCAGGTGCTGGCCTTTGACACAGAATGAGTCCTGGTCCTGCTTCTGCATTCCTGGAGCTGGGCTGGTTTTTCTGGTCATGGTGGTCGGTCTTATAATCTTATCAATTCCCTTATCTATTCAAGCCTCCCAAATCTACCTACTGGGCTAGGAGTGGGGACTTCGTTTTAAATGGTACCCTGACACACCCTAGGTCACCTCAACCTACATAAATTCAGGTATGATTGAGAGGAAGCTGTATAATAAGACACTCCTATCACTCAGGAAATTCAAAAGGTTTTAAAAGCTCTGTGTCAGAAACTGGAGGTAAAGGCCAATTTTATTTCTTATTATTCAACAATCACACTTTCAGAGATGATGCCCACAGAACTGAGGAAAGCGTCTCCTGGAAGAAATTCTCAAAGGAAAGGGCTGGCAGGTCTGTGGAGCTTGGAGAAACACTGAGTTAAGTTTTAATGCTGTTCTGCCATTTAATCTTCCCATGCTTCAGGGTCCTCCTCTGTAAAATGGAGGTAGTAAAATTGTTATACTTGGGCCTCCCTGGTGGCGCAAGGGGTTAAGCACCCCACTGTAAAGCAATCCGCAGGCGGCCAGGGAGCAACCCACATGGCACAGCAGACCTCTCCTGTCTCCCTGCTGCTCCCCTCAGCAATGGATTTCGGTCAGTCTGCCTGTTTTGCTCCCCCTCTGTCTCTGTCAAATCCTCTCACCCTCGACATCTCTGGCCTGTACCCCAGCTCTTGTATGCATAAATAAATAAATCTTTAAAAAAAAAAGTGTTATACTTACTTCTTAGGGTTGTTAGAATTGGAGATTAGTAATCATAAATTACAGCCTGGATGAGGTACAGAAGAGAAAACACTAGCTTTTACCACCATGGATGGTGGTGGGGGAGTCAGGGATCCAAGTTCTAGTCCAGTGCCTGGCCCTCCTGTATGGTCTTCACCTCTCCCTAAAGCTCACTTCATCATCTCTCAGTCTCAGTTTCCTCATCTATAACATGTAGGCGTGGGTGAGCCCTCGTGAGCCCCAAGGGGCCTTTCCGTTCGGTCAGTGCGGTTACTGGGGGAAGCAGCCGAGAGTGGAAAGTGGAGGCGGGAGAAGGGAGGAGCCCTCTGGGCAGACGCAAAGGCTAAAGTAGGTAACCCCCCTCAACCCGCCCCACCCCACCCCACCCCACCCCGCCCCACCCGCCCCCGGCCAGCTGTGGCCCGGGCGCCCTGGCCGGTGCGCGCTGGAGGCCGGCCGCGAGCTCTCCCAGGAAAGCGCGCACAGCCTGGAGCGAGAGGCCCGCGGGCGCCGCGGCTGGGCCCGTCACCAGCCACACTCGCTCCGCTAGGGCGCGGCGGCTGGCGCGGCCTCCTGCGGCCGAAACCGAGCGCTGTTCGCCCCGCCGCCGGCTCGGGGCCGGGCGGGGGCGGCCGCGGCATCCGGGCGGGTTCCCGGCGCGCCCGGCCCACTCCGCCTCGCCGGCGCTGCTCGGGCTCCGCGCCGCGGCCGCGAGCAGCAGCGGGGGCAGAGGAAGAGGAAGGGGCGGAGCTGCTCGCGGCTCGCTGCCCAGCAGTCACCCGACCGCCGCGGGTCGCCTGTCCCGGCACGGCCGCTGCCCCGACGCCGGAGAGCTCGGGGTCGGACGGGCCGCGCCACCCTGTCCAAGACGCCGGGCAATGCGCCGCCACGGGGTGTCTCCCGCCCAGGGGCGCCTCAAGTCTGGTCATGCGCCGCCGGGACCGGACGGGTCCTCCGGGACCGCCCGCCGGGGGCTCCTGTGGACCGGCCTGGCGCTGGCGCTGCTGGCCCTGCCGGACGCGCTGGTGCCCTGGGTCCCGGCCGCGGCGCACCCTCTTCCCGAGCAAGGCCGCCTCCTCACGTTCAGCCGCATAGTGCCCCAGCTCCGGCAAGCTTTTGGATGGCGGAACCTCACCTGCCCGGCCTGCAAAGGCCTGTTCGCTGCCATCGACTACGGGCTGAAGGTGAGCGCTCTACCCGCAGCGGCTGCGGAGGAACCGTCCCGAGGGCGCGCGAGAGGGGGTGGAGGTGGGGCTGGGACTGAGCCCTGGGGTCTGGAAGGCGCCCCCCACCGAGAGATTGGTGCCCCCGAGCTTGTACTGAATGTGCACTCCTTTAGGGACACCCTTGACTGGCCAGCACCACTACCTCCACTGTGACCTTGTGAGTAAGGAAAGTGTGAACTGGAGTCTGGGCACTCTGTTTAGCTATTTTATATGGGCGAAATCAAACCTATGGGCTGATTTCATTGCAATTGTGATCTCCTTTTTACAAATGAATTGAGTCCCAGAGAGGTGAAGTCACCTGCCCGAGGGCACACAGCTGGCAGGGGTTGGCGCTGGGACTTCCACCATGGTGGGTGGAAGACCCTGGTGGGTCTTACTCTGAATGCCCTGTGCCTTACCCTTGGCATATCCAGATGGAGATATCACGCCTAGCACTAGTTACTCAAAAAGGACTTAAGAAATATCCAGGAGTGTGGTACCAAATGGGATGGCTCTGACCCTGGCGATGTAGAGTGCTGATTGGGAGGTGAGCTTAGTGGGGCTCCCCAGGGAAACAGGACCCTGCCCCCATGATGTCCCCAAACCCAGAACAGTCTGTCATTCTGCCTTGCGCAAATTTCTACAGACAGTGCCTGCGAAAGCCAGCAGGGCAAGCAAAGGCCTGGAGTGCCACTAGCTGAAGAGGAAGTACTTGTGCTGCCCGGTTACTGAGAACTCTGTGGGGAGGGGGGTGGGTGGTGGTGCATTGAGCTCTCTTCTCCATTGGGGCACTGAGTCCTGCCCAGCCCCAATTTGGATATGGAGCCCCCTAGGGTATTAACAGGGGTTGGCCTGAGCCCTATACTCTGTCTCTGACCTCTCGCTCCTGGTTTTACCCCCCCACCCCTCAACAGAAGGAGCACAGTGTGGCCTGGGTGGGCACCGTGGCCACCAAGATGTGCATGATGCTGAAGATAGCACCGCCTGCAGTGTGCCAGTCAGCCGTCCAGCTCTTCCAGGATGACATGGTGGAGGTGTGGACACGCTCAGTGCTCAGCCCTTCTGAGGCTTGTGGCCTGCTCCTGGGCTCCACCTGCGGGCATTGGGATATCTTCTCATCTTGGAACATCTCTCTGCCAGCTGTGCCGAAGCCAGCCCCCCACCCACCCAGCCCCCCAGCCCCAGGGGCCCCTGTCAGCCGCGTCCTCTTCCTCACTGACTTGCACTGGGACCATGACTACCTGGAGGGCACAGACCCCGACTGCGAGAACCCGCTCTGTTGCCGCCAGGATTCTGGCCGGCCACCTGCCTCCCGCCCAGGTGCCGGATACTGGGGGGAGTACAGCAAGTGTGACCTGCCCCTGCGAACCCTGGAAAGCATGTTAAGTGGGCTGGGCCCGGCTGGCCCTTTTGATATGGTGTACTGGACAGGAGACATCCCTGCCCACAACGTCTGGCATCAGTCTCGACAGGATCAGCTGCGGGCCCTCAACACCATCACAGCGCTGGTGAAGAAGTTCTTGGGGCCGGTGCCTGTGTACCCTGCTGTGGGCAACCACGAGAGCACACCTGTCAATGGCTTCCCTCCCCCCTTCATAGAGGGCAACCAGTCTTCCCGCTGGCTCTATGAGGCCATGGCCAAGGCCTGGGAGCCCTGGCTGCCTGCTGAGGCGCTTCGCACACTCAGGTACTTGAGATTCATGGAAACTCCAGGAGGGATAAGAAGGGCATATGAAAGTGAAGGGAGCAGGAGACCTGTGTTATCTGACTGCACCAGTATGGGTGTTCATCAGGCCTTCTTGAATCCTCCCCATCTGAGCCCACCCACTGTCCCCACCCTTATCTCCAGCTACCCTCCTTCAGAGGAGGGCAGCACGCCCTCTGCTCATCTGTGTCTCTGCTCATGTTGGCCTGCTGTAGAATTCCTCCCCCTCCTCTTTAAATTCATGACTTTCTCCAGCTTCCCCAGGTCCAGGCCGTCTTCCCTTGAATAGCCTCTGCTTCCCAGTCTAACTCACTTTTATCACCCCAGAACTCCTAGAGCCCTTTGCCCTCTGAGACATTCTCCCCAGTCACATGGGCCCTATAATGAGTAGCTTCCGCTAAAATTGGGAGCTCCCTGAGGGTAGGGATGGCGCCCTGGGAGCCTCTGCCCTCTCCCCAGCTGCCTGGCACAGGACTGCGCATGCAGAATTATGAATGAGTGCTGACCCCCATGTTCACTTTGTTTCAGAATTGGGGGGTTCTATGCCCTTTCCCCACGCCCTGGCCTCCGCCTCATCTCTCTCAATATGAATTTTTGTTCCCGTGAGAACTTCTGGCTCTTGATCAACTCCACAGATCCAGCTGGACAGCTCCAGTGGCTGGTCGGGGAGCTTCAGGCTGCTGAGGATCGAGGAGACAAAGTGAGGGAAAGTGGGGGGCGGGGCGGGCAGGCAGGAAGCAGGCCCTTCACCGGCAGACCTGGCAGCTGGGGCACTTGTGTGCAGAACAGTTTGATTTTCTGCTACTCTCAGTAACAGTGTTCCCTGGGGCTTCAGCTCACCGTCACGCTTAGAAGTTCTGTCATTTTCTTGCCCTCTCCCAGGTGGGACCCACAGCCTTTGTAGGAGAGAGGAGTACCCCCTCTTCTGGCCAGGACTGCCTGGAGTCCTCCTGACAACCACCCCTCACTCTCCCCACAGGTGCATATAATTGGCCACATCCCCCCAGGGCACTGCCTGAAGAGCTGGAGTTGGAATTATTACCGAATTGTAGACAGGTAGGGGGGAGGTAGGGGTCTACATGGAGGGGCAAGGGGGAGAATGAGGAGCCCAAAGGGTGGAAATTCCCTTGAGTATCTCACCATCCCTGCTGCCCCACTGGGGTGGGGCGACTGCTTGCTTGAACAGGATGGCGAGAACAGCCTTTCTCTCCAGATCTCTTCCTCCCTCTCCCGGGAACCTTCTGAATACAGTGTCTTCTGACCAGGTATGAGAACACCTTGGCTGGGCAGTTCTTTGGCCACACCCACGTGGATGAGTTTGAGGTCTTCTACGACGAGGAGACTCTGAGCCGGCCGCTATCTGTAGCCTTCCTGGCACCCAGTGCCACCACCTATATTGGCCTTAATCCTGGTGAGTGAGGGGAAGGGAATTGCTGGGATAAAAGAAGAGAGGACGGGAAGGAGATGTGGCCAACAAGACCCAGGCCAGACTGGGGTCCCTTCCGTGGGGTGCCCTTCGTCCTTCCCGCTCCAGTCAGTCCTCCCTCCTCCTAGGTTACCGGGTCTACCAAATAGATGGCAACTACTCCAGGAGCTCTCACGTGGTCCTGGACCACGAGACCTACATCCTGAACCTGACGCAGGCCAATGAGCCGGGAGCCACACCACACTGGCGGCGCCTCTATCGGGCCCGAGAGACCTACGGGCTGCCCAACGCGCTGCCTGCAGCCTGGCACGACCTGGTATACCGCATGCGAGGTGACACAAAGCTATTCCAGACCTTCTGGTTTCTCTACCACAAGGGCCACCCGCCCTCGGAACCCTGTGGCACACCCTGCCGTCTTGCTACTCTGTGTGCCCAGCTCTCTGCCCGCTCTGACAGCCCGGCTCTGTGTCGCCACCTGGTACCGGAAGCAAGCCTCGCTGATATCCAGAGCCTGCGGCCTCGGCCACCATTTTGCTAGTGCCTGAGGGCCCAGAGTTGGGAAAGTTCTGTCTTGGGAAAGGCGCAGGGAACCCCAGGAAGCCACTATGACGAGAGGAGTGTAGGAGGAAAAACGCATTCCCGGGCCCAAGCACTCTAGGGAAACAGGACCTCCTCCTTTTCTGGAGCTGCTTGGCAAGATATGGGTGAGGGCTGGCTGCTCTGGCTCTGCCCACCATCCTAACCACCCTGGGGCTGCTGTCTTTTCCTGGCCACAGAGCAGAGATCTAAGTTGGCCTTCCTGGGCAGACCACACACAGGAGCTGTCACCTCCGACCTGTGCTGGCCAGCCCGGAACCCTGTACTGCTGCTGCTACCTGATTACCAGGCTGTTAAAATAAAGACAAGAGACTTGTACCCCCAAAGCCCTCTGTGACTATCCCATTTCCTTCTTTCCAGGTAGGCAGGGCACGGGGGCTTGGGGGCCAGATTGCAACTGAGGGGTGAGGTGATGCGATGGCGGGGTAGTGCAGGCACAGAAGCACACAGCTCAGCAGGGCAGACAGACTTTATTAGTGATATCAGTAGAGGTGCCCATGGAGCAGGGGGGAGGGGACCCATGCCTGGACCAGTCCCCTCCCGCCCCTGCTGGGCCCTATGAGGATGGGGCCTGGCCTAAACCAGTTCCTCCTGCTCCACCTGAAATGGGGATGGAGAGCCCGGGGCTGGCCTTGATTCCTGCTCCTCCTGTCATCCACCCAGTCCTGTCACTTACTTGCAGGGATTACATCTCTATCTCCCCAGCCCCTAGGCAGGGAACCCCAGATACTGGGGAGGGGCAGATTTGGTGGGGGGGCCTGAGGACTAAGAATAGCCTCTAGGGCCCCTCTCTGCCCCATACTCTCGAGTTCCCTGGGGCTCAGCACAAGCAGGTGGAGGGAGAACCAAGGGCTTCAGGGGGTATGGGACCCCAACCTTTTGGGCTTGAGGGAGCCCCACAGCGACTGAACACCCCTGCGGACGGTCCACCCTACACGCCGGGCAACAGATTCAGCAGGGGGTGCCGGGAGGCAGGAGGTGGAGGCCTGGGAGCGTGCATCTAGACACTTCTGGTAGCGGAGCTGCAGAGAGGCATGTGGCCAGTCACTTTCCGGCCTGCCCCACGTGGCTGATTACACCATCCCACCATCCTCCCCACTTACCATACACGCAGCCTGCACGGCCTCTGAGAGGCTGGCGGCATTGGGCTCGCACCAGAACATGTGGCAGCAGAAGGAGGCTGGGCCAGCAGCCATGATGAACGCAAATGTGTGGACATCTCTGCCCACAGCCAGGAAGGAGAGGAAGCGCACCCGACACTCCCCCAGCACGGCCTCCGTCTGAGGGGAGAGAACCCAGCTGCAAGAGAGCTGCCCCAATCCTCTGGAGACCACATCCATCCCACTGCCAGCACTTCTCAGCACCCTCTCCCCTCCATGACGATGTAACCACACCTCCTTCCTCCCCTGGTAGGTCTTTACCTGCTGGTGCAAGATGGTGAGGGTAGCAGGGGCCACGCTGACATGGCTGGGGGTCCACTGCTCGCGGCTACTGGAGGACAGGACTGACTCCAGGGCCCCATTTATCACGTCTACCCCTAGAAGACATGGACATGGCACCACTAAGGCTATGGAGAGGGTGCCCCACCTTTGCCTAGTCAAGACCAGGGCCTTCGCTGCATCCCCACTTCAGCAGCCTACAGCCCCAGACAGTGCTGCGTGTGGGCCCCTTCCTCAGGGCACTCCCCGAGGCTTCAGTGATCTGGTATTCTTTCTAGTTTCTTCCACCTTGAATCCTAGGCTTGATCCCTTTCACTGACTGCCTCTCCCAGCCTCCTAAATGAACTGACTGCCCCCAGCCAAAACTCTGCCTGCCACATATCTGTTCTCAGTGCTCATCCACATTCCAGCAACTCTCAAATCAGCCCCTCTAGGCCTCTCCTAACTCAACAGCTGACCTTTGTTTTGCTTAAGATACCAGTCTGAGAAATACACGTGTGTCACACTGTACTGAGTCATTAAGTGTTTCATTCACACCGCACAAGAATCTCACAATAAATTCTTTTATCACCATTTTACAGATAAAGAAACTGAAGCTTATAAACCTCAGATTACACTGAGGAAAGAGATCTGATTCTAGAGCCAGGCTTTTCCCCTGCCCCTTCTCTATGTTCCCACTTTTAGCTCCAGAGACCTGTCAAAAGCTGCTCAAAAGCTGCACTCAATTTCTATAAGGTGCCCAAAGGCCAAGGGCCCCAAGGTTCCTGACTTGGACATCAACTGTGCTTCCCTTGTAACGCTCTGGTTTCCTCACCTCAAGCTGCCTTGACTCACTTCCACTCCTGCAGCCCACTTCTGCCCACACTCAGAGACCACGGTGTGGGGGAGGCGTGAGCGCCAGTTCCTGTGCCACTGGCAAACTGGCTGTGGCATCTACGGTGCCTCGACCGTTGCAGCCAAGAGGTCAGAGTGAACAACACAGAAGGCACACACCTCTTGTGGTCCCTCCCCGGCCCTCCTGCCCCTTCCAGGGCCTCTGAGCTCACACTCGGAGCAGACCACGTGAACCCTTTATAGGCAGAGGACAAACGTCTTCCTCAAAAGTGCTCCCTCACTGTGGCCTTGCTCTTCTTACCTCTGGCTAGATGAAGGCCAAATTCCTCTCCCCGGCATGCAAGGTCCCCCAAAACTCGCCTTGTCTGAGCTGTCAAGCCTCGTATTTTACTGCTCCCTGAGCTTCAAATGATTTATGCAGCATTTATTAACATCTACTCTTGGCAAATGCCCTGCTTGGCAAATACCCTCCAAATGTGGAGTAAGAGAAGATGATGCCCTCGAGGGACACAGACTGTAACTGAGGGAAATGCTTCTCTGGAGTGCCATCCCCCTCCACCCAGAGAGTCCTGATTCTCATCCTGCAGGGTCCCCCAGGCCGTGCCCAGGAACTTTTCCCTGCTTCAGGGCAAAGAGGACATTGCTGAGACACCTCTTAGTACAACATCTTGTATTTGCTGAAAAAAATTTTCCCACACTGGGCTGTGGCCATCTCAAGGACAGAAGCCAAGTTTAATTCATCTCTGTCCCCAGGGGTAGTACAGAGCTTATCTACTGCAGGAATTCTGTATGCACAGCAATCACCCTCCAGGTAGCATGGGCAAACCACCCAACCTAGTATAACCAGGTAACCAGGAGTGCACAGAGGGGTGGCAGCGCAGGCAGGCGTGGGAGGGCCAGGTCAGGCTGAGAAGAGCTGTGATGTCTATCATATTCAGGCCAGTGCAATGAAAAATCAAAGATCATGAGTGCAGATGGGAGATCAGAGTTCAGATATGGGGCTGTGAGGGTGGAGGCTGACCTCGCGTGGGCAGAATGAGCCAAGAAGTGGGGAAAGCAGTGGAACAACTGGCCTGGAAAGTCTGTCATGTCAGGACCAAAACCTGTACCCTGACCCTGAGCCAGACACTCCCAACCACCCTGGTACATTTTTCCTTATCAATTGCTACCTTCCAACATCCTGTGTAATTTACTTATTTTATTGTTTATTATTCCCAGCTAGAATGTCAACTCCGTGCAGACAGAAATCTGTCAGTTTTGTTCATTAACATATATCAAGAACCTACAATAGTGTCTGGCACAAATGGGGCACTCAATAATAGCCAAGGGCTAAATAAATGAATGAATAACTGATGCAGTTTCAGCAGGGGCCTATGTTCAATTGCCTGTGTTTAAAAGGGATCGTAACCTAAAGTAGAGACCGCTAGTATGGAAGGTCTGGCTTAAACAGAGGAGTTCATCAAGCCGGTGGGTAGCAGAGTGGATAGTCTCACGCCGTGAGAACCTGGTCAGGCAGCAGATGGAAAGGAGATGTGGGAACAGGAGCAATAAGTGGAAGAGGTAGCAGGGTTTAGAAGTTGAGGGTGAGGGATGAGCAGATGAGAGCTAAGGTGCAGGGGTCAGTCACACCGACTTCCCGCTCACCGAGCCTGCTTTCCTCACCTCCAGCCCCACTCCAATGGCAGTGCCACTGAATTAAACTGGAGTACCCACTCCTTTCTGCAGACCCAGGTTTCCCTCCAAACCTAGGCCCAATCCCCACCTTTCTAACAATGACTCCCTTGTTGAATCTAAGTTGCTGGTTATTAAAGTCAGCACGGTTTGAGAGGAAGAGCAAAAAGTGAAAATCACCCATGTTTGAGGCCTGGCACAGGAACTGGCACCTGCTGGCTATGTCGTCTGAGGTCAGTCTCTTCATTCACACATTCATTTGTTTATTCATCGCCAAATACAGTTACATTCTTCCTGAGTCTTTGGACCTGATACCCACTCGGTTCCTTTTCCCTCTCTCCTTCTGCTCTCCTTCTTTCCTTCTCCACTGAATGGGTGATCCATTCACTGCTGGAGGGCCTCAAGGCTAGACCTTGCATCATTTCCCTTCTCACTGCGAGCAGTCCACTTTCTGGGCTCAGTCTTCTCTATACTCATGGTGGTGACTACCTCTGTGATGCAATGATGCCCACATTTGTATCCTCAGCACAGACTTCTCTTCTGAATCCAGCTGCCAAAGTGAGTTTGCCACTCAGCTTCCCCAAGGCACCTGAATGTCGGCTTGTTCAACACTGAACTTAAAATCTCCACCCCCAAAACCGGCCTCTTCTATTTCCTGCTTTCATTAGAGAATGGTGCACTATGATCAGCCCCAAAGCCAAGTGGCCAAAATTATCCTTTCATGCCTGTGCCCCTCACCCCATATTCAATCAGTCATTAAGGCCTGTTTTTTTAAATCATCTAAAAATCACTTCATATATTCCTCTTCAGCCTCGCCATTGTGCAAGGTAGTCTTACTGCTGGCCACAGCTATCACAAGGTGCTCCTAATTGAATTCCTCAACTCAACCCACCCACCCAACATCTCTCTCCAAGGTGTAGCCAAAGTGCGCCTTACGAAACTCAAACATGATGATGCCAAGAGCTTTCCTAAAAACTATCTGAGAGCTCTTTCTGTGCTCAGGATGAAGAACATATGGCCAGGGTGGCCTGGAGACCCAAACAGCCTACTGTATCTAGCTCCCAGCCACACCATGCACCGCCACAGTTACCCAGGGCCTCTGACACACTGTGGGGCCTCCCTCCGTGGTTCCTCACACGCATACATGCGGTTCACTGTGCCTGGGGTGCTTTCTCTGTTCTATCCCACTTTTCCACATTGGCTCCTATTTTTTTTCAATCTCAGTTCAAATGTCACTTTCTCAAGGAGTCTTTTCTGATTCCCTCTATGAGGTAAAGTTCCTATGTTTCATAGCACCTTGCTACTTTCTTCCAATGAATGACAATTTTATTACAAACTGATTTGTGTAACTTAATTCCTATTTTTCCTACTGTAGCCTCCATGAAAGCAGACAGTGGCCGCTGCTCTCCCAGGGCTTGGCACACAGTAGACTTCGTAGGTATTAACTAACTGAGCGAACAAATAAATAACAGGTACTGTGAAAGGTCCAGAAATGTAAGAGTGAACCAGATAGTCTCAACCCCCGGTTTCCTTACCTATAAAATAGATATTATCATAATCCCAACTTCAAAGGATTATTAGGATTGAGTGAGATCATGTATGAGGAAGTACGCTAGAAAGAATCAATCACACAATTATTCCGCTCACTGCATCCTCTCTAGTGCTCACAGCCCCAGGATATTGCCTGATGTTTCCAACCATGGACAGCCTGTCTCTGGACCCAACCACAGCTTTCCTGTAGGATCCCAGGGTGGGATCCTGTGGGATCCCTGTTCAGCACAGTCACACAGTTCACACTTGTGAATATGTGCCAAATGCCACTTCAGGCTGGACACAGAGTACAGCCCGACAGAGGCACAGCAGGTGGGAAACATTTTGAAGGACAAGGTGACAATGATCATGAGGAAGGCTGGTAAAAAAATAAAAGGCATTGCAGGCGGAGGGTGAGGACAGAGCTTTGGAATCAAGGCCGTGGACTCTAGGTGAAGCAGGACACACATACCGACAGGTTTAGCAACAGGCACACTCCCCAGGTAATAGACTTGGAACTTTTGTACCAACTCGTTCTTGGGTGCTGGGAACTCCACTGCAGGAAAGAAAAGACTCAATAGTGATGGCAGATCTTGCTCCCTCCCAGCCCCTACTACCAGCGCATAAACTGGACATTCACCCAGCCGAGGTCCTCCCTCCATCCCTCCCCCTGCTTCCCTTTAACTGCCTCTACCTGATAGTAAGAATTTAGTTTTCATGTATCCCTTTTTTCTATCTTGTCTGTCCAGTAGCTTGTGCCTCTTCTTGGGTCACCCCACCTTTGCCAACTGGTGGGGTTATGACACTGACCTTGGAAAGGGACATCCACCAGTTTAGAGTGGTCCAGGGAGAGTCCATTTACCAAGCAGCGGGCATTGCGCCGTTCGGCCATGATCTGAGGGAGGGAGGGGAGTGGCAAGGGAGGATGTGTTAGGGCTTCATAGCCCTGCAGCTCCCACCCCCCACTTAGCCCCCACCCCTTCTTTGTAGAGCAAAGGTGGCAGCTAGTCCAGGGAGCAGAGGGGCCGTGCCTTAGAGCAGATCTCATGCAGGCTGGTGGCGATGTTCTTGGCGGGTGCCTCACAGCGGAACACGTGGCACTTGAGCATCTGGGTCAGCTTATCACGAGCTACGTAGGCAAAATCCCTGTTGGGGGAGGGGCACCTCAGTGTCTCCCAGTGCCATCACTGCTGAGCCTCATCCCCGCCCCACCCACGCCCTCTCTGTGGCAGCTCCTCCAGGGCTTCTGTCCTCCAGATGGTGTCCTGTGGGTGCTGCCTTCTGGCTGGAAGGTAGACAGGCAAGCATGCCAAGGTTGGGAAGAATGGGCACGCACAGCGGGCAAGAAGGGGCAGGGCAGAGTAAGGGAACATGGGTGCTTCAAGGCATGGGTTCAAGTGTGGGAGGAACAGTCAAGGCAAACAGGCATAGTAGTACCTCTCTCTGGGTCCAGCAGCACAAGAGAGGCAAAGAACAGAGTTAAGGAGGAGGGCCCCCCTCTGACTTCTGGGTAAGCCCCCACCCTGGGATCCCAGGCCCTGTTCCCACCTTCCACTGTCCCGCCCGACGCCCCACACACGAATGCTGACGATGGGCTGGGCATGCAGCAGGGCCTGACTCTGTGGCTCCACCAGCTTTAGCGTCTCATCCTCCAGCTGAAGCAACAGATCCTTTCCCTGAAGGGCCAGGAAGCAGGAACTCAGTGGTGCCCCAGCCAGGAAGGTGGCTGATCACCACCTCCAGTCAGGTACGGTAGCTATAGCTCAGGGGCCCTTGCTTTGGTGTTGGATCTCCAACCTGCAGGCCTCACTCTGATAGAGGTCACACTTGTCATCTCTTACAGAACATCTATCATCATCCCCACCATTGTTCCACAACTGCCCCCCAAGGACCCACTTTCATCTCACAGGGCTGTTGTGTGGGTCACACACCCTCCCCAGCCCTTCCTTGGGCAGCTCAGCTCTCCCACCTCTCAGCTCCTTCACTTCTTCACTGCATACCACCCACCAGCTCTGGCCCTCACCTCCCCCCAGCCCCCAGCCATGGGGTCGTGCAGATTGTTTTTGTGGTAGGAGAGCTGACGGATGCAATTGTTGACCGCCACGCTGCTGCGTCCAGGGGCCAGCTCCTCCTCGGTCATCTCCACCCAGCCCAGGGAGCGCACTGCGAAACACTGGCAGACACAGAAGAGGGGGTGGGAGAGAGAGGGTCTGAGATAAAGCCGAAGGAGGCCCCAGCAGAGGATATGGGTTTTTGCTGAGACCAGAAGAGTTCCTGACTCAAAACATGGTGAGTGGGTGGGTGTCCTGAGCTGAGACCAAGAAGATCCCCCATATAGCTGGTGTCAGAGGAGACCCCTGCTAGTACAAGGAAGCATCTGAGCCAAGCCTGGACTGGCCCTGATCAGGCCTCTGACCTGGTCGGGATGAAAACTGAAGTGCCTCGCTCAGATACAGGGGCTTGGGCTGAGATGGGAAGTGTCCCAAGCTCAGGACCTGGGGAGCTGTGCTGAAAACAGAGATGCCCCTGGAACATGACACAAGGGGTTCTCCAGCCTGAGGAATGGGTGCTGATCTTAAACAAACCTTGACTCCTGGGTTGGCATTCCGTGGAGGCAGCTTTTCCTCCTCTTGAGGCAATTGCTCTGGGCTGCAGGCAGATGGTAACACTTGGTATAGGGCCTCATCCATTGAGCTTTCCCAAGGCCCCTTCCAGACAGACCCAGCCCACTGCCAGCCCACTGTGGCACGCCTGCCCACTCACCTGAGGCTCTGAGCTGGGAAGGGCAATGTCCCCTCCTCAGGATCCTTTAGTCCCAAATCCATCGGGGCCTCCTCAGTGGGCTCATCCTTGGGAAGAGGAGAGTGGAATCAGGACCAAAATTCTCCCTCTTCTCCAGCTCCCCGACTGTGAAGCGGATCCCCTCACTCACCTTCCAAAATTCTCCATCCTCAAAGCCTTCTCCATGGGTAAATCCTGTCCAGGTGAGCTGGGAAGAGGGATAGGACCAATGATTTGGGGGGGGGGGGGCTCATCTTACTCCAGTAGCACACTCCTTTCTACCCCTGATTAAAAACAACAGGCCTGGGCCTCCCCTGGTGGCGCAGCAGTTGAGTGCTGGGCTGCAAAGCTGTCTGCAGCCTCTGCAGCACCGGTTCAATCCCAGGCCGCCAGGGAGGATCCCACATGGCACGACAGACCTCTCCTGCTGCCCGCTGCTCCCCCTAGCAGTGTATTTCATCAGTCTGCCTACTCTGTCCCCTGCTCTGGCTCTGGTGAATTCTCTCACCCGCCCGCGCTTCTGACTGTACCCAGTGCTTGTATAAATAAATAAATAAATCTTTAAAAAAAAAAAAAACAAAACAGGCCTGTGAGCCTCACCTGGGAGGACTCCTCTTGGGGGCTGCTCCCCTGTGAGGGGGAGGTCCGGCCCGGGGGCTCCCACTGGGTGGTCCCTGTTGGGATGTGCCAGTAGTAGGTCCCTGAGGTATCTTGTACCCTCATCCATCCAGCCGGCAGGTCGGAATCCGTCTCGAAGGCGTTGGGGTTCCAGAAGGAATCTGCCGGGTAGGGGGCTTGGTGAGAATCTGTTTACCCAACAAGCAGATAGCAGCTGCTTCTGCCCAGTCCACCCCCTGCCCCCCGCCCACCAAAGACCCCATAGTTGAGAAGAGGTGGAGGAGGGCTCCAGCACAGCGCAGCTCCTGCTTTCTCCCCGGGCCCGCAGCCTGGAGTTACAACATGAGCACCAGCAGCAGGGACATGGCTGAGGGTTCCTCCTGGGCCCTGCTCCTGGACATGCGGCCACAGAGAGAAGGGAGGGTGGGTGAACCCAACTGACCTCCTGTCACTCATATCCATATCTCAGGTGCACACTTACCAGCTCCTGCACTCAAACCTGCACAAACACAGCATGTACCCTACTACACACCTGTGCAGCCACCACAAACACAAGGGTGTGCATACACAGAAAATACCAAATGGCAGGTATCACATAATAGTGCAAATGCATGTGCAGGGATAAACACACCAGTCACACACTAAGCAGACACTAAACACTCAGGTGCACGCACACACAGCTATAGAGACCCACCACCACCAGATATATGTGCAGAGACCACACCCACAATGACCCCCAACACATGTGTGGGTGCCACATCGAGAATGTACACTCAGATGCACAACACATGCCAACCTCTGCCATGTGTGTGCAGACACCACAGGTGCTCACACCCTGACCTTGCTACACGGACGCAGGCGAACCTTTTGTGCGCATACACACACAGCATGCACCTGACATGCACCCCTGCTCCCCTGGGGAGGGACTCACCACTCAGCCCCACAGACGAGCTCATGCCGCCTCCGCCTCTGCTCTCCCAGCCAGCCCCACCCACGTCATGCCCAGCCCCTGCTCCCCTCACCTGGGCTGCTGTCCTGCAGGATGATGGCCAGGAAAAAGTCCTGGGAGAACATGGCGCTCATTCCCAGCCCCTCCTGCCGCCACCCTCCCTCCTCAGGTCCCTCCAGTCCAGCCAGCTGGGCTCACAGCCTGGTGCTGGGCTGCAGAGAAAAGCTCATCCCGCCCCCTTCTCACCAGGGCAGAGCGCCTGCCAGGCAAGATCCTCCCCCGCCAGGAGCACACTAGGGAGGGGCCAGGACCACCACAGGAGGGCATGTCCTTGGGGTGGGGAGAGGGTGCTCATGAGCCCCCAACCTTTTCTGCTCATAGCACTCTCCAATCCTGGCTCCCCCCAACCCCCCAAATCCTGAGTGTCCATCCCATGCCACAGTGGTCATCTCACTGCCTGAGTCAAGCCCAGTCCTAGGGACACAGGAGATTCCATCCCTCGGGAATACCCCAGACACCTGGGGCCCTGCGAAGCCTAGAGCTCTCAGCACAAACAGGGTGTGGCTTCAAGGCTCCCAGGGATCCAGCCCTGGCCCAGAACCTGCCCAGCTTTTTGAGCCTAAGAGGGACCTTGAGGGCCTGGGTCCCAGCAAGCTTGAGGCTGGGCTTGGGGCTTCCCAGCACTGCCCCCCCTCACCTGCCAGGGCCCAGCTAGGCTGCAGCGTCTCCTCGGCAACCGCAGCACCAGGACCGGCTGGGAGCGCCCAGACTGCTGACGTGCTTCCCGTTACCAGGGAAACCAGGAATCCTGACTGGTCCAAGAGGCAGCACTGAGGGACAGGCGGTCCCCAGACCCAGGCTGCTGAGCAACCAGGCACACAGGAGCAGGGAAGGGTGTGGTTATGCCAAGGAGGCTACACACCTGATGTGAGTTATCTGGGCAAGGTGTCTCACCATCCTCAGCTTCCAAATGAGATAGGCCAGGAGGGTAGGGGAGGGCTCTTCTTACCCATCCAGCCAGAATTCTAGGTGGCCATTAACACCTCTTCTCCCCTTAGCCTCCCCTCACCTGAGGCCCTAGGGAATTGGAATGGCTGCTCTTCCCCAGAGATCTCCCTGGCGTTCAGGGCACTCCTGAGAAACCTGACAGGAACTCCAGCACCCTGGCAGCTGAGCGCTCCACGGCCACGCCCTTCTTCATGGCGGGTCATATACTACTTGAGGCTAAGGGGACCGATTCGCCATCTCCTGACTGAGTCACCACACCCATCCATCTGCCATCCCCGTCAGCCTGTACTTTCCTGCTTCAAAGAGCTTCATCCTTCCGATCTGTCCTGGAGGGGCTCCTCTTTCCCCCTGACCATCTGGGAGGCCCTGCTGGAGTTTGGCACATCTCCCTCGGAGCACAGCCCCTTCCAGACCTTGGCCTCCCATGCGTGCATTTATTCAGGAGCACATATCTTCACTCTGCGTGGATTCCTCCAGGCATGCGCTCCTATGTTCACAGGGCCCATGTGCTACTCGCGTGTGCATGCGTCCTCCATGGCTGAGCCAGGTGCAGGGCTTTGCTCAGGAGTCAGTGAATCACCTACTGCTCTCTTTTTCCCCACCCCATCCTACTGCAGTCTGGGCGCCTGGTATTCTTCGCCGGGATCACTGCAAAGCCTTACAAGGTGCCCTTTCCCAGGCTAGCCTCCTCCGACCCAGGCTACCCACTGCAGCCCGAAGGACTGTTTCAAAACGCAACACTAATGAAGTTACTTTCCAGTTCAATACCCTGGCGGTCTTGCCCTTGCTCTCGGGATAGAATCCAAACCCCCCCACACACAGGGTTTGTGTACTGTTGTGAGCCCCTAACTTGGCAGTCTTATCTCGGGCCACTCTCTACTTCCTTCTCGCACCTGCCGCTTGGGACATGATCCCTACACTCTTCAAGCCCAGCCTCCCTCCCCTCCATCTTCACTGGCTCCTCTTTCAGGCTAGTGCAAGGATCACTTCCCCAAACAGGCTATTCCTACCCCTCACCCCAGGCACACCGGCAGGGCTAGGTGCCCTCCTGCACCTCCCCATCCTATGCTCACCTCGCTGATGATAATCGTTGGCCTATTTCTGTCTCCCCACTAGACCGTGAGCACCATGAGGGCAGGAGCATCTGACCCTGCAGATGCCTTCTAGCGTTCAGGACACGGCCTGGCACCCAGGGTGACCCCAGCACCAGAAGAGAGCTCGTTCACTCGTCACTCATTCACCACTCACTCCTGCAGCGCGTGCACTCACACATTCAACAACTTTGTGGAGATCCTAGGGTGGGGAGGAGAAAACAATTTGTGATCAATTTTATCCCATCCAGAAGCCCAGACCTCCACTGTGGACTTCATGGTCAGGTCAACACAATCATGGGAGTTAGCAGTGACTCACCCCTTTGCTAGGCCGGCCCCACACTGCTGCCCTCAAATTCCAGAGCCACCACCACTGTAATCCTTGACCACTCTCCTGCCACGTCCCTGCCCGTGCTGAGGCCCGTGCCACACACACTTCCCACTTCTTGAGCAGCCCCATCATGCTGCTTCCAGAGGCTCAGAGGTGCAGGACCACAGTGACAAAGACCCCAGGAGCCACTGAGCAAACAGGCTGGTTATGATGTGGCCTCTACTCACACCCCCTAGTTTGCAGAGGTGGCAAACTAGCACCCTGCACACTAACACAACCCTCAGGTAGATTGTATGTGGCCTATGTGGTGCTTTGCAAAAAGCAGAATTAGTGGCTACATTAGAAATTAGGATGTTTCCTATTAACATCTACTTTTTTCAGTTTCTCTTTAAAAGTTATATAGGCTCCACCGAGATGATATTTTCCTCCATCTGATTTGTTAAGTAAGCAGCCGGAGCAGAATGGCAGCTCTTCCCTTTAAAGGGGATCCAGGCCACTACCAGCACATAAAAGAGAGGCAATCAGACTTTGCCTCTGGTAGAAGTGCTCGATTCTGCCTCTGAAGTGCTCTTGCAAAAACAAAATGCCAGAATCTCTGAAATTGAGATCTGATCAAGGTCCTAGAACTTAGTACCAGTTATTTACAGGAAACCCAGGGAAGAGAAACACATTCAACACCGGAACAGGGGAAGTCGGCAAACCAGACCTGGGAAACCCAGGACAAACAACACTGTATCGTCAATTGGGAAAAAAACAAAAAACAAAAAAAATCTGTAAACAAAAATAGAGATGAAGGGAAAACTTGGAGATCAAAAGCAACTGTAAGAGGGTTATCATTCCTCAGAAGTTCAGGACTTATTTGAATAGATTTGAATAATCAAGACTTTTAAAAGGCTGGGGGGGGTGGCCGGCGTGGGGTCAGGAAGATATTTATTAGACAACTGGGGGAATGTAAACATTGAATGATATTAAGAATTGTTAAACTGTTGTAGGTATGACAACGGTGTTGTGGATTTTTTTAGAAGAGTTTTAGTTTTTAGAAATGTGTGGGTAAACATTTACAAATGAAAATATTTGCTTCCAAACAACCTAGGCTGGGCGCAGGAGCAGGTGGGGGTAGAGATGCAGCAGGACTAGCCATGTGCGGATAATTGTTGAAACAGGGCCATGGATAAAACAAGCTCGTTACTCTACTTCCTCTGCTTTTATATATGTTTGAAAATGTCCATATTAAATACATTTAATACATTTTTGAAAGGGGGTGACGTGCCGCCCCCCTAGCCATCCGAGCTGCCCATTCCTGCAGAGGTCCCACACTTTGGGTCCTGGTATGTGCCGGCTGCCGGGGAGGGGACAGGGGCGCAGGGAAGGTGTTCCCTAACCTTTCTTTACACTCTGTCCACAGAACACTGGGCTGCAGCCATGGCCATCAGCTCTTCCTCTAACCCCAGCTCTGTCTGCATCACTATGTGACATTATCAAATGTGGAGACATAACTTATTTATAGTGGGATGTATTTAATGATCAGTCTTCGGAATCCTGATATTTCCCCTACCCCCTCATAAGTATATGTTTATTCTTCCTATGTCTCCTAATTATTCTTCATTTGCTTCTTATCCTATTCTGGGTAGAACAATATCCTTGCAATACCCACTGTGGTACTCTGCATACAGCAATGCTTTCCAAATAGACCTCCGTGGGGTGTACTGCTGCTCCCTCCAGTCCTGGCCTGTTAAAACCTGGCCCAAGCACACCTCGGTGCATCATGCTGTGAGCATCAGTGGCACAGTAATGGGGCCAAGAGCTCAGGTGTGGAGTCAGACCCAGTTTAAATATCTGTTCTACTGTAACCTCAGATGGTCTGTGACTTTGAGAAATCTACTAATCCTCTTCAGGCCTCTTTTTTTGTCATCTGTAATAGGACACAGTATCAAGCTCACAGAATTATTGTGAGGATTAAATAAAACAATGTTGAGCCGGGGGCCGGGACCTAGCAAGTGCTCCATAAATAGATGTGGTCCACTGTCCAGGGGGTTTGTGTGACAGATGGGTCTATCAGCTTGTCCACGCGCCCTCTGAACCTAGGAACAGTTTCCTCAGACAACCTGGGCAGGGCCTGCCAAGGACTGAGGATGTGAGCTCGTGACTCCTGCCTTGGCCTCTGTATGCAGAGGATGACCTCTCACCTCCTGCCCTCCCACACCCCCCACATTAAGCTCACAAGGTACCTGTGTCCTCCGGAGAGCCATAGGAGGGGCTACCCTGGGATAAGGTGGCCCAGCTTGAGTCCTCATCACTGGCTGCACTGTTCCGCATGCCAAACAGGAGGCTGGCGCTCTTGCTGTGATCCCGGGGGCCATCTGCAAGGGCCTGGGGCCCAGGGGGCACCTCCACACTTTCCAGGGGCTCCGGCAGTCCTGGGGGAGAAGACAAGTCCTCCTCTTCTTCCTCCTCCTCCTCTTCCTCATCATCCTCCTCGGCCTCCCCTGCTGCCTTCTCCTCTCCCTCGTCCGGCCCTTGGTCCTGGGTGCTGATGATCAGGCCAGGTCCTCGGAGCCCTCGGTTGGCCGCGTTGTGAGCAGAGAGCTCCAGCTCAGAGTACAGGTGCATCAGGCCTTTCGGGCCCAAGGGCGCCGTCTCAGGTTCCTGACCGGCCTCTTCTGCCAGGGTCAAGGTCACATTGCGGTTCTGGTCACGGTGGGCTGTGGCAGCCCGCCGGAGCTGGTTCTGGCCCTCCTTTAGCCACTTGGCATTGGCAGGGCCTGGCTCAGGCCCGCCACCCTCCCCCATGGCACTGCGCAGGTCCTTGGGCCCCACAGCTGTGGCCTGCAGCTTGGCGTTCAGCAGCTGGTTGTGAGCAGCGTGCAAGGGCAGGGGAAGGCTCAGCGAGGGGCCTCCGTGGCTGTTGGCATTAATGACCGACTGGCTCAGTGACGATGGAACAGACATGGCCTTGGCAGATCCTGTGAGGTGGAAAGGGGAGAACAAGTTGAGCCGCCAGGTGAGGGTAGCAGCATCCCTGCTTCTGCCTCAGGCTGTGTCCTGTCCTTTCTCATCTCCCTACACTCAGCTGGCCAGCGCACACTGCTCCCTGGCCTCTGAGCTGCTTTCCCACGAGAATGATTAGGCTGAACTCCTGTCCTCCATCACCATCACCCCTTTAGTCACAACCCGCAAAAGACCAGGCCCAGGCCTGAAGTCCACCCATGCCCAAATTTCCCAGGCCTGAGCTTTCTGGGACAGCACAGCTGGCCTCTGCTTTGCCTTCACTGCCAACAGCAGAGCCTCCACACAATAGCTCCCTGTGCCACCCCACCCCCGCTCATCCGACTGCAGCTCACTGTGCCAGGACACACTGGCGTGGGACTGGCTCATGTGCTCCGGGTGCCGGACACAGCCTGCCCCCTTCCTCCGGCCACGCTGCTAACCACAGCCCCGCCGCTGTACACGCCCCAAGCTGTGCTGCCATCACTGTAAATCAGTAGGGTCTACCACTCTCCAAGCCCACCCCACTCTAGGAGTGGAGAGGACAGCAGAGCAGAGCAGACCAGCCTTAGGGCATGGCCTAGGAAGGCAGGTCACAAAGGAAGGGTCTTCAGCTCCTTGTCAAGGTTCTCTGGCCAGCTGAACCTGCGTTTTGGTGACTGCTTTTATAAAGTATCTCTGCCAGCTCTTGAAATGCCCCAGGCCTGGGTCACTGCAGAAGCCTTTAGTCTGGCCCCTCTGGCCCCTCAGGTCACCTCTCACCAAGGCCTTCTTTTACTGAAGACCCGTTGTAAAACTGTAGACCACCAGACCCTGTCAGTCATCACTGAGCACCATCTGACAAGCCAAGTCATTATTCACGTTGTTTAACGGATGTCTCCTCATAAGTGTAATTCCAGTTCTACGGCAGTGGGGATTCTGTCTTTTTTTTTTTTTTTTTCCCCAATGCAGTATGCCTAGAGCAGCACCGTCTTGGCACAGAACACAAACTCAGCAACTGCTTTTTGAATTAATGGATGAATCTGCACAACACCCCCCCCCCACCTCCAACTCCTCCAGGCCATTTTAGCATCTCCTCAGTTTCAGAAAACACACTTTGCTGTGTCTCAATGGTTGCTCATGGTGCCCCCACCGAACCACACCTGCCCTGTGAGGAGGGAAGCTCCAGTTCCACCATGACAGCTCACTCTCAACCTCACCCCCACAAGCTCCCCCATCCCTCCTCACAAGCCCTTCATGGACTACCTCCCCACCAACCTACCCTTCCTGCCCCACTGCCTCAGTGGTCCCTCCCCAAGGGCCATGTCTTTCCCCTGCTCCCTCCCACATTCCATTGCTCTATCCCTGCCCTTCCCTGACCATCCTATAGAAGGGCTTACTCCCTGGACCCTCCCCCTATTCACTGTGCATTCTCCCTGGCCAAACACTACCCAGTTCTCTCTCACTCTCACCCTCTCAGACAGCCCTGCCCCAGTACTCTGCCCTTCACCGATGCCCTCCTTCCAAGCTCTCTCTTCCTATTGGCCTTTTCCCCCAGTACACAGCTTGCCCTCATAGCCTGCCCTCCCTTGCAACGCACATCTTTCTCTCTCGTTCCCATGTACCATTTTTTCTTGATCTCTCATCTGAGAGTTCTCCTCCTCCCTGTTGCCCATGGTCACTGGCCCGGTTCTTTCTGCCTCCTCAGCTAGTGCTCAGCACTGAGCACAGATGAGGTATTTTAGGCTACCTGAGCTTGCTCTGCCAGGCACAGGGGCACTGCTTGCTCCTGAGCAGGGGCCACAGCTCACCCTTCAGCCACCTCCAGCTCCTCAGACCCCAGCACAACGCTCTGCCTATACCTATGGAATAAAAGGCAGTTTCTGTCCATGTGCCTGTCTCATGTGTAAGTATTGGTCTGCTCAGTCTGGCTCCACCTAGGCAATAAGGAAACTCGTGGTCACTGGAATAAATGAGAAAAAATAGATGGCGCTGTCTCTACCCAGAACCACAGTAATCTTCCAAAAATGGAAACCCAGATTGTGTCACTCCCCAGTTTGAAAAATTAGAAGGCTCTCTGCTGACTTCAGGATAATGTCTGTGCTCATTAGCAGGACACCCAAGAGCCCCCAGAGCTAATCCCCATGACCCCTTGGGCCTCCTACCATTCCCAGTCTCCCTTCACACCTTACACGCCCGTCCCAAGAAGTAAATTAGATTGTAAAATGTGTTATACACTCACCGCCCTGGCTCTCTGTTTATACTGCTCCCTCAGCTTAGAATCTTGTCTCCCCTTGTGAGAACCTCTATTCACATTTCAAAGCGTAGCTCAGTGGTCATAGCTCCTAAGCAGTACGTCTTTCCCATTCAGCCCTCCCTCCCCATCTCCACGTGACCATTCCCTCCCTCATGTCTCACAGTGCCACATTCTATCAGAACATCTGAGACCATGTCCCATTCCACTTACAATCCCGCAACCAAGAGCGGGTGCTGACATCCGCCACAGAGTGGGCCTCCAATACAGAAGGAAGGGAAGGCTGGAGGGGACAGAGACAGGGTCGGGAGAAACTAGGAGGCTTGGAACTAGTTGGGAATAGACACTAAGACAGGCTGGTGTGGGCCCACAGCTGGGATGGGCAACAGGAGTATTAGGGAGGATGCTGGAGAATGATGAAGGGTCCCCGTGAAGGAAGTAAGATAGGACAGAGGTCCTGGACAGATGTAGCTTAAGCCCACATCCTGGCTCGAAAGTTGTTCAGCACTGGCATCTCCATGAGTATCAGGAGGTGGAAGGCCCCATGTCTCTGCAAAGCTCAGGGGCAGAAGATGATGAGCCCCTCTCTGAAGCACTGGTGGGTGGACCAGGTTCTCAGCAGTTGGGACTGGACTGACCTCCTTGGCACTTGGAGGTGTGGCCCGGGAAGGGCACAGGCACTGTGCGGCTGACACAGTGAAGAGCCGGGCTCATGTCAGGGCTGCCCTAACCTTCTCTGGTCACTATGACAGAAAGCACGTTCTATTATGAGTGAGTGCTGAAGCCCGAGCACCTAGGCTTCCAAGGTGCTCCAAGGTGGTGTGGCCACCATCACCTCACTTTTTGAGATCAAAGGATGACCAGCAGCCCGGTGTGCCAAGTATCTTCAAAAAGGGCATGACCCGGGCTCCCTGGTGGCGCAGGCAGTTAAGCGCAGCGCTATGAAGCTGTCCGCAGCCTCTGCAGTGCCTGTTTGATCCCCACTGGCCTCGGAGCAACCCACATGGCAAGCAGACCTCTCCTGTCTCACCCGTTGCTCCCCTCAGCAGCATATTTTGTCAGTCTGCCTGTTCTGTTCCCCACTCTGTCTCTGGTGAATCCTGTCACCCTCCCGCGCATCTGGCCTGTACTCCAGTTCTTGTATAAATAAAATAAAATCTTTAAAAAAATAAATAAGGTTATGACCCAACATCTCCCCTCTCACTGGGGTTATCAAGACCCAATGCCTCTCAAAGGAGCAAAAGAGATTTTGACTCAAGGCAGGGAACTGGGTAGTGTCCTTGGGGTACCAACTGAAACAACAGCCACCAAGCCTGAAGGAAGATTTATCAGACCACAGGGGTGGGGGTGAGTGCTGGTCAAGGTCAAGGGTCTTCTAACCTGACTGCTTACTATAAGTAAGGACCATGCTAGGCATGGAAGAGAGCGACAAATAATGAAGAAAAGCATCTTCCCCAATGGAGCCACAGTCTACTGGCGAAAAAGTCATTGGAAAACTCACTACGCTGCAGTATAACACCAGTAGCGAGGGTAAGCACTCCTTTTGGTTCACTAAATGACCAAGTATCATGGTGAGGGAAGAACAGGGCACCACAGGAGTCTGAGGCTCAGACATCAGCAAATACCTGCCCAAGGAGGTGACTTGTAAGCTGAGAAAAGAACGCAACTCTACTGGAATCACCCCCTTCACCACCCCTCCCTCTCAGAGGATGATCCCCCACTCCTAATTCACCGGGAGATGGAATCCAGAGATTGCGGAACATCCTCCAACCTACAAAATTACTGACTTCAGCACCTGCTTTTCTCTACTTCTGCCTAAAGCAACTGCTTCATCTTCCAGGTGGCCCCTTCCTTTCATGTCTTCCCAGGAATTGTAAACCACTGTTTCTCCATTTTCTCTTCTATATAATCAAACTCTTCTTCTCAATGGGATCAATTATCTCCCAGTTTAAAAACAGAATCTTTCTTGACCCAACACTCATCCAGCACCCCTGCTGCTCTCCTCTCTGCCCTGCACAGGTCAACTTCTTGAGAGAGTTGTCTCTATTCACTGTTGCCAGGTCCTCACCTCTCGCGGCTGCCGTTCCTCACTCCTTTCCAATCCGCTTCCACTCCCACTGCACCTCAGGCACAGCTCCTACCAAGGTCAGCATGACCCCTAAGTCATTTCATCCATCAAACACTTGGTTGTCCTCTCAGCAGCATCTGACACCAGGGACCTCTCATCCAACTTTCATCCATGGCGTCTACTCACTATATATCTGGGTTTTCCTCCTACACTCTCGTTACTGCTTGGTGGCTCTTTAAACTCCTTTGCTGGCTCATCTTCCTCCCAGCCTTGATATGCCGCAGCTTCTCCTGGCTTGTCTTACGCCCTTTTCTTTCTCCTCACCTGACACTCTATACAGATTGAATTGAATATTCAATTCATGACTGGGGCTCCAGTTATCATCAATACACTGATGATTTCCAAATTGACTTCTCCATTTCAGACCCCTCAACTCAGCTCCAGACTTGTACATTCAACTTTCATTCGACAACTCCACTCGATGTCATAAAGGCTTCTCAAACTAACATGCTGCCATGTTTCTCTCTCCCACACCCTAGCTGGTCCACTCTCAGGATCCTGGCTAATGGAACATGACAACCCATCCTGTTGTGAAACCAGAAGTAGGTCTGCTATTTACCATTTGTGACACTACACTCTCCCTCATTCCCCAAATTCAGTCCACCCCCAGATAATGACACTTTTCAAGAAAAACGTCTGGGCTCCATTACGCTCCTCATTCACTACCTTCAACAATCTACACCAAGAACCAAGATCTTAAGATCAAAATTCTGAACATGGTCTAAACTGCCCCGCTCAGTCTGACCTCTGCTTCCTCTTTAGCTTTGGCACTCTGCTCTCTAGCCTCACTGGTCTTCTCTTGATTCTTCGAAGACATCACATTCTCTTCCTCCAGAATGTGTCTGCATATGACTTCCCTTCCCCTGGAGCCTTCCTCCCCCGCCCTCGCAGCCTAAGTACTACTCATCCTTTACATCTTAGTTCTAATGTCATGTTCTCAGAGAAGCCTCATTGACCCATTCTCCCTACACCCATTTAGTTTGTACTCTTGAATGTTCTCAAGGCATCAAACACCTTTCCTTCATGGTAAAATTACAAATCACATTGGTAATTTTAGTCCTATTTTATTTCCCTCCTATATTGTCAGCTCCACGGGGACAATGCGATTTGGAAATCAGGTAGAGCGGAAACAGAGGGAGGAAAATTCAGCTTGAGATGTGTAAGCTTGCAATTCCTGTTGGACTTGGATTCTGAATCTGGAGTTCAAGAAAGAGGTAGGGGCCAGATATACATTTGAGGACCACCAGCATATGAAATGTGAAGTCTCGGTAATAAATAAAACGCCCAAAGACAAAGTGCAGAATGAGAGAAGACAACTCAGAGCAAAATCAAGAGCCTCTCCAAAATCTAAGGCAGGAAAAGGCAGAAAAATGGGAATGACAGAAGCAGACAATGCCATAGGAGAGAAACCAGGAAAATGTTTCAAGGAGAAAGAGTTGACACACACCACTGACCAAGGTATCAGGGGATAACAGGCGAGTGTCTGCTGGTCCTCAGGAGGTCTCTGCTGACCTTGGCTTGAGCAATTTCAGTTGGCATCAGGGGAGCAGATGGAGTGGAGTAGTTTTAAGAATGAATGGGAAGTGAGGAGATGACAGCAAGAGTAGACAATGTTTTGACTTTGAAGAGAGAAAAGAGCTGGGACTACGATGAAGGGGTGCAGAATTCGAGCAAAAGCACAGGCACATTCAAAACAGATTCGGAATAACCTCTGATTTGGCGCTAGGAAAACTGCTCCCAAGGAGCGCTCCTGTGAGTATTAGGCCTCCAGGCTGAGCTGCAAACACGGCGGGCCCCAGGGCACACCCCTCGGTCGCGGAGGGCAACAGACTGCGGCTTGACAGATCCCAGACCCGGGACCCCGCAGGAATCCGGGCGGCCTCTCCCCCAATCTCACGCCTCACCCCCTCCCCGGCGCTTGACCTCCCCTCCCCCAACCCCCTCCCCCACCCCCGCCCCAAGCTCCGCGCCCCTCTACTCGCCCGCCCTGCACCCCCGGGAGGTCAGGCTCAGGGAGGGGGCGAGGCGAGGACCGAGGTGGAGCCTACCAGGCGCGGCCGGGAGGGCGGTCCGGGTGCGCGCGGAGAGGCCCGCCCGGGGGCTGGGGCCTGGCCGGGGGACCCGCGCGCCGCGGGGCCGGGGCTTCGGGGTCCACCGTCGCTGGGGACCGGGATCGGGCGGCCGGGCTGGCTCCGGGCAGGGGCAGCTCCTACCTGCGCGGGGAGGCCCCAGGCCCAGGTGGCGGAGGTAGCTCAGGCTGCGGGGCTCGGGCTCCGCGGCGGCTTCTCCATCACAACATCCCCCGCCCAGGCGCGCGCGGGCGCGGGGCCGCGCCCCGACCGGCGGGGGCGCGCGCGGGGGGCGGGGGCGGGGCGCCATCTTGGGCCGGCGCGGGCGCGAGCCCCGGGGGCGGCCCTCGCCGCGGCTGACCCGGGGGCCGCGCCCCGCCGAACCCCGGTGCTGGGGCGCCCCACGGGCCACACCGTCGCGACACTGCGGCCCCGCGCCCGGCCCCCGGCCCCAGCGCGCAGCCCCGGCCCCCGCCGACCCCGGCCCGGGCCGGCCCGCCCTCACGACGAGGCCGCGGACTCACCCGGCGCGCCCGGCAGGGCCCGGCCCCGCACCCCGGGGCGACTCCGGGCGAGGGGGCGCCCCGGCGACTGGGCCGTGCGGGGCCGCGCGGGGAGCTGCTTGGCTCTGGCGCAGCCCGCCCTGGCGTCCTGCTGGCGAGGCGAGGAGGACGCGGCGGAGGCGATAATAATAGCTCGTGTTTATTGACCGCTCGCGCGGTGCCGGCTCCGCGCTCGGCCCGTCTACACGGCGGGCAGCGCCGCACGGCCCTGGGGAGCTGCCGCGCGTGTTCTCCGCGGCTGTCAAAGGCGGCTGCTGAGATGCAGAAAGATGAAGCGACTGGCCTGCAGTCGCTAGTGATGAAATCAGGCTGGAACCCAGGTGTTTCTTCACACCCCACCTCTGCTGTTGAACCTACAGTTGCGACAGCAAGCCCTCACCCATGGCAAGGATAAATTGCTCCCCCGTAGAGATTTAGGGGAGGAAAGGAAGATAGGGAGGAATTGATGAAAAGTGTGAAGGGATGCCCCGTGCAGTATCTACTGCAGACTCCCCGGATAGTAGGGTGGCTCCCAGTGGACAGATCAGTGACCCACAGGCCGTCAAGGACAATGAGGGGAAATGTTTCCATCCAGAATTCCTCTCATGGTTCTCATTTTTTTTTTTAAACAGAGGTAATGATTGATTAAACCTGCTGATATATTTGAGCTGACTGGCATTGCCCTCAAGGTACCTAATCTAAAGGTATTCAAATATAAATTCATTATTTGATCCTTTTTATTGGCATTATAAGGAGTTTGAATGGGGTGAGCAATAATACACACACACACACACACACACACACACACACACCACACACAAACGATGCAGCTCCATCTGTACCAGTGAATTGCACCACTACCTGCTGACTTGCATGAGCTAGGAGGCTTCAGATCATCTTCAACTATACTTTCACTTGATGTAAGGTGAATAAAATTGTGCTAGCTTTTTATTATGTAACATTTCAAATATATACGAAAGGGCACAGGACAATATAACAAAACCTCATGTACTCATCACTCAGTTTAAACAATAATCAACTCCCAGCCAAGAGTTTATTAGGATATGACAAACCTCTGTGATACGTGAACTATGTATCAGGTCTTAGGCTAGGTCCTATGGATGCAGAGGTGAATCATATTTGACTGTAACCCACCTGCAGAGATGACAGTTGACCTCAGTCCTTGGAAAATGAGTACAAGTTACCTAGAATAAGAAAGGGGTCTCATGCATTCATTCTCTTGCCACAAATTAGCATGTGAGGCACTGTCCTTGGTGCTAGAACACATAAAGAAATAAGATGTGGTCTCTGCCCTCACAAAGTATGAATAACAGGAAAGAGACATTAACATGATCAGAAATGTGATGAGTATCTGGAAGATGTACAAGGCATTATGTGAGAGGACTAAATTTGGCCTGGGGGAGGTTTGAGAAGCCTTTCATAAGGAAATGAGGCTTATGTGAGGGAAAGGGATGAAGGGGATAGAGATCAGCCAGAAGAGAAAATTATTTTGAGTCAAAGAAGAAATACAAGAAGGCAAGTACTGGTGTGATAGTGGAGAAGAATGGCAAAAGATAAGCTGGAGAGGTGAGTAGGTACCAAGTCAAGGACAGTCTTGTGTGTTAGCCTGCAGGTTTTGGATTTTATTTAAAGGGCAGTGGAAAGTCATGAAAAGATTTGAGGCATGTTCACCCCTGCATTTTAGGAAATCACTTCCAGCTGCTAAGTGGAGATGACATAGACGGAGGGCAAAATTAGAAGTGTGGAGACCAGTTAGGAAGCAATTAATGGAATCTAGGTGGGAGATGGCTATAATAGGAGAGCAAGGATGAAAAAAACTGCATGGGTTTAATAAATATTCAGGAAGTAGAATTCACAGAAGTAAACAATTGATTAATTGAGGCTGGAAATGTGGAGAGATGGATCACTTCCTATTTATGCTTGAGCGAATGAAAAAATCCAGACATATCACCTATTTACAGATAGCATACCAGAATGCATGGCATCTCAATTCCATTCAGCATAATGGCTGTAATAGGGAAATCTCCTCAGGTAACAAGAGGCGAGCAGATGGAATGTGAGGGTCGGAAGACAGGAGTCTAGGTGGCAAAAATGAAAATGTGCAGTTCTCACACAGTGCAGTCTGGCCCACACACAATCTTCTGAATTCCCAGTCTCACAGGACTACAGAGCCTACTGATCAATGGGAACTCAGCCTGTGCTCTTCAGTCATCCTTTCTTTACTGTATCATTCCCCCTTTGATGCAGTCCATGGCCCAAGAAGAGCCAATAGCCTATGAACCACCTCAGATGCTACATAGGAGTCTGGCCAATGTAAAGGCAATGTAGATGGCTCTGAGGCAGCAATCTCTTAAAATTATTACATTGGGCTATGAGGAAAAAATTGAATTAGAAGCAAATCCATCCAGAGTCACTTACTAAGAGAATTGACTTTATGTTATTTTGCTTGACTGACCAATCAGTTAACATTAGCAGGCAATTGGCACCCATGTCACCTGTGTGGGAGGATAAAGCTTTCATCCTTTTTAGGAGTAAAGACAGCCTTTTCCATCACTACATATCTATAAGTATTGCTTTCATATTGTTATTTTTCTTACAGTTAATCCTATAAACTCTTCTGGATGGAAAAGCTATATGGGGTGAAATAATCCCTCATATTACATGGCATGGAATCCATAGTCAGATGCTAGGTCTGGCAAGGAATTCCTCCACATCCTTCTTCAACAGGACTGTTCTAATAAATTCCCAGGAAGACTGCATACGGTGAGAAGAAAAAGGACTGAGCTGAACTCTGAGACTCCACATTTGGAAAGCCAATAGAGGAAAATAAGGTCAAGAAGAAATCCACAATGAAACAGAAGAGTAAGAGAAGAATCAGGAGACGGTAATGTCATGGAAAAATCCAAAGGAGGAAAGAGTTTCAAGGAGGAAGAAGTGGTCAACAGCATCAAATGCAGCAAAGATTTCCAATAATGTCAAGGGGGAAAAAAACTACCTTTGAATTCGGAGTCATGAAGGTCATGGATCCCATGATATGATCCATAGCAGCAGAAACTGGGGACAGGAGCAATGAATGAGCAAATGGAAAAGCAAGAAGTACAATAATTGTTAGAACTCCTTTTGAGAAATTTGGAAGAAGGACTAGCCAGTAGTTGGAAGTGATATGAAGTTAAAGATTCTGGTCTTTTCTTTCTTAAGATGGTAGAAACTTATCCATGGATAGAAACACAAAAAGATGCCAGTTGAGTAGATGGATTTGAAAATAAATAAAAAAACTAATGAAACAGAAGATGAAAGATGGAGCAAGATCCTGGCAGTGATGAGAGGGGGCAGATCATGGGCAAATATACAGGAATCACTGGAAGGGATAGGATGAAAATGAAGGTATAGGTGGGGTAATTCATAAGGTGGGAGCAGGCAAGAAGTTAGTTTATTTCATGACAAATGATATCAATATTTCCAGTCTTTAAGCTGAGGAAATGGAGGATTAGGTGGAGAGCAAGATAAATCTTACAAGATAAGTGTTACTACTGTTGTTACCTGCCCAGCATCCATTCTCCTTTTTTTTTTTTAATATGATTCGATTTTTTTTTTTTTAGATTTTTTATCTATTTATTTATACAAGCACTGGGTACAGTGAGAAGTGCGGGAGGGTGAGAGAATTCACCTAGCCAGAGCGGGGAGCAAAACAGGCAGAAGGACTGAAGTACACTGCTGAGGAGAGCAGCGGGCTGCAGGAGAGGTCTGCCCGCCATGTGGGACCCTCGCCCAGTGGCCAGAGATCGAACCGGTGCTGCAGAGGCTGTGGGCAGCTTCCCAGCCCAGCGTTCAACCGCTGCGCCACCAGAGAGGCCTCCATTCACTCTTTATAGGTAACAGCACATCAGTTTTCTTTGAAGTCCCATCCCCTCCTCTTTCGGTTTCTCTTTGGTTCTGATGGGAATCGGCTCAGTCCCACAAGCCACTTCATTGTTGCTAACCCAGGATTGACCCATCGGCATCAAAGTGATCAATTCAGAGACTGCATGTGACTAAATTCTAGATAATGAAAATCAGATCCAGGATTTTCCCCACAATTATTGGGCAAAAGGTGCACTAGAATGTAACCTAGGTGGGCATATTCACACTAGGAAGGATAAAGCCTGTCTGAGAATGGAACCAACTCAAAGGAAGATGAGGTAATGGATGGAGAGAGATAGATGCCTGACAATCTCAATTTGTAATCTCTATTTACCACTGCTTGAAGTCACATAAGTCAATAGATTTCCTTTGTGCTCATACTACTCGAGTTGGTTTTGTCACTTGCAGTCAAGAGTGATGATGAATTTATGTGGCAGATACACCTGATGAAATGATCCCCACATCCACTCTTACATAATTTCTCCTGTACCAACAGGACTGGGAATCTGAAAACCACATTTCTCAAATTCCCTTGTCACGTCTAGATAGGTCCTGTCCATGGAAACCCTCACTTGAGGTCTAAAGGTGGGAGGAAGTGTGTCCCCCTTCTGCTTCTGGCAGTGCCTCTGGCAAGCTGCCAGTAAAAGTGGAGGCAATTTCAGAAACATCTACATCATAACCTTCAGCTTTATGGATTTTAACATCAGAGTCAGTGCAAATTTGTGGGCTCCTTGATGGTTGGGCAACACCTTCTCTCACTTCTTCTCCTCTAAACCAAG